ATAACAATCGCCATTTTCTTTTGAGCTGGTCAAATGACCCCCCCCCCAAAAAAAAAGTTCACTTGTCCGTTCTACTTTCATTCTATTTTACATGCTTATACACCATACTCACTCAAAGGCTGCTCGGATACTCCTGAGGTCCTCTCTAAGTAGCTTGTTCTCCTTTTTCAGGTTGTTCATCTCTCCCGCTGCAACACAGAACACAAGATATGATCAGAGCACTTTAAATTGTATTTTTAGGGGAATAGGGAAAAAACATGAATGTGAGGTTGAGAAAGTTGTGCCAAATGCCAGAAGCCAAAGAGGAGACAGGAAATGAATGTGTGACATTAGAGACGAGCGATGGATCAAGAATGGAGGAAAGGTTGATTTTGAAAGACGGACGTGAACAGAATACCCAGTAGAGTGATGTGCTGGATGCTCTGTATCTGTGAAGACTCAAATTCCTGCTGTCTCCTCTTGGCTACCTCCTGAGTCACTGTGCATCGGTCACACAGCCCCGCCCTCAGCCTACACAGGCAGCAGAAAACCACACACCAGAATCACAATTGGCTGATTTTGAAAACACTAACATAGTCGTAACGTTCAGGTACTAAGTGCAGCGGCCAGTGAAGGTAAACACATAATTAACAGTCCATTAAAGCCAGACTACGTAACTTTTGAAAGAAGAAGTGACACATTCTACAAAGGAAATGTTGAGTTTGTAAGCATTGCCGCAGCCTCACTTGGTCCAGTATGACCAGTAGCTGGTAGTGGCTAATGTTAGCACACTTTAAATCAAAATTGCTGTGGTGCCGACATTACTCTGTTTGCTGACTCTTCTCTGCTTGTTCGACAATTTCACTATGTTTATACATATATAACTTGAGCTAACTACCTGTTTTCCAGTGTCTTGATGTTCTCGGTGAGTACTCTCTGCTGTTCTTTCATCTGCTGGTTTTTGGAAAACAGGTCCTCCATTCGCTTTGTATCACTGTTGACATGCACGCAGAGAACACACAAACACAGAAAACAAGAATAAGACTACTGTAAGGTAATGCCAATCAGATATCACAGAAGTCTTTTTACGATCAGTGAGATGCAGAATGATTCATCGTCTCTCATTCATTTCTGAAGAACAGGCAGTCAAGAATCATACTTTTAGTTTCGATGCTGTAGCTGCATTTCAGCATCAGCCTCCACATTTACACTCCTCTTTTCATTTATATAAGTAAAAGTATCACGAACACACTATTAAAAAAAAGTGCGACCACGTTCAGAAAATGTACTTTTATGCCAAAGTACAGAAGGATTGTTAAGAAAATGTACTTAAAGTTCACGTTTAAAACCGTGGAGATGACGGTGGACTCTAGGAAGAGCCCCCCCAACACTGCCCCCCCACATCACAAGACTCAGCAGCACTGCGTCTGCTATGGAAACTTCTGGGATCCCCAATCTCCCAGAACTTAAAGTGGGACTACGGGCTAGAAGCCTTGAGTTAGGCATTTTGGTCGTCGCCATCTTGTTTATTTTTAAGTCGCTTTCTTTCTTTTTTTTGTCTGCAACTTTTTTTTATTGTACAAGTGACAAGAGAGGGCGGTGCAACCGAATGCTGATTAAGACATTTTTAGGCGACCACAATGTTACAATTATCCTTCATGAAGGTTTACACACTATGACAGGTTAGCATCTTGAATAGAAGTGTTTTTCAAGTGATTGCAAGATATTTCACTTTTGAATGCTTGTGTCTTATGTCAGAAACATTGTGTAGTGTTTTGAAAGAAGTGTAAAAGTATTCACTTTTAGTGTGTGAGGAAACACAAAAAGATGTATACAGACAGTCTGAGGCTTGAAGAAACGCAAATGAGAAACTCCATAATAAATAAAGCTGTTATAATGTTTTATAACAGATCAAAAGATCCAACTGAAAACAAGAACAAATGGAAGTGAAATAAAAAATTGCACTGCCCTGATGATAAAAGGCAGGGAAGAGAAAAACTGGATTTTCCAAATTCAGTAAAACACAATGCTCAACAAAAACTTTTAAAAGTACATGTTGAAACTGAAAACATGTTTGACACGTTCAGACTAAGCTGTGTGTTAGAAATAAACTGATGTTCTAGTTTTACTGTTGTTAAGCGTGGCCCCCATTAACTTCATTTCATAAAGACTGTTCTATGTTTTATGGATTCTTTGTTCACTTTAGAGCTATGCAAGAAGTTTTCTTCACAAAGTCAAGGTAACACGGGGTGAGGAATTGATATAAAAATGATGTGGTATTCCTTTAATTTTGAAAATCGCGAATGTAAAATTGTAAAAGTACGTATTTAATTTTGACTTGCATGTTTGGCTGTTTGCTGTCCCTACTTGGTAACCAAAGGCCAAGAATTGGTTGCCAATTTCTAAAAATGGTCGACAATGGCAACCTGGCAACCCTTACTGTCAACCCCTGAAAACATTGACTCAGACCTTCTTAGATTAACTCCTAGTTGTAACAGGAATCTAAAATAACCCGACCTCTTTGCCAGCTGTCTTTTTCTGTGCGTTTTCAGTGTAATAGAAACAAAGATTTTGTGACCCAGCACCAGACTGAAGGACTTGTTGCAACATGAGCTTCCTCCCGAGCTTAACATGACACTGACAAAACACAGGGCGAGGTGCAGCGCAGGACCAGCACGTCCGCCTGGTCTATAAAAACGTCAGGCCCGAGCACGGTGCCCACAGTGGTTGAACCTGTGCACATCTGAACCTGAATATCTTGTCTAAACATGATCATGCAGAGACCTTGGCGAGGTAAACGATTCACTCACCAGCCTTTCTTGTTGGACAGCTCTTGGATTTTCCCTTGCCAACCTGGAAACCAATTACACAACACACCTGGTTATAATTCTTGGGAATTATATGAGATATTACAGCTTTCTCTTTCTCTCAATCTTTTATTTCTGGCTGCTGTTTCCATGATTTCCACTTACCCTCCACTTCTCGCTCGTGGACCTCCCGCAGTTTGAGGAGTAGGCTGTTGAAGCACTCCATTGCAATTATTCTTTGAGTCTGACTCTACAACGAAAAAAGAGAGACAGAGAAGTTACCGTTAGATAATACCTCATTTGCATATTTAAACATAACATTTCAGACAATTTGTGATACAAAAAGTTATTGTCTCAACTTGAGAAGTTTCATGTGGATATATATTAGTTTCTTTACCTGTAGTATCAAAATGTGTGTTATTTTACTAAACATATCTTCAACGGTCGTTTTCTCTAAATACATTTTTTCTCAGACTCTGAGGCAGAAATCTCCACTTCAGCAGCTCTTACATACATCAAACTTACCAGTTTCATTCCTCTCTATATTCTGAAGGTTGTTACAGAGGGGTTTGTTCATATATACCACATTTTATTCCGAAGAAATAATTTAATAATTAATGTCTGTCGACAGTATTAATAGAGTGATACAAAGAGAAATCTAAAGTTCCCTTGATAAAAACCTTTAACTCATATCAACAAAGTGAAACAAGATTTTTGAACTTGGCTTTATGAAATGTTCGGAATTCCGTCTTTGGATATTTATGCAAATTATCACATATTTGATCAGATAATGCCTAATTTGCATATTTAAAGATTTTCAGAAAGTCTCATGGTGATATCTATTAGCTGTTTTGCCTATTCTCCTGTAGTGTCTCCTCTCAAACAGTGAGGGGTCTTGATGTTATGACTGTTCACACACTCTAAATCCAACACTTTCACCAAGTATTAAAACTTTAAACAACTCATGGAGTGAGTACACAATAATTCAGTCAGTTATCAAGAGCTTGGGCGTTATAGCCCGAGGACTACTGGGTGTTTGGGGACGTACAGCACCGCACGCTACTTGCTGGCACTATCTTGATGCGTCGCTGCTACACAAATGTGTTATATCAAGAAAGATTAAAAACTAGCTAGACTGGTCCTGCAAGGCCTCGCACTTAACACTGCGGGTTGTGTTCCAAGTACATGAAACACAGCTTTTAACTGTTTGCGGAATGTGTATGTGCACGCACATGTGCATCAACTGCGTCTTGCAAAGTAACATAAAGAAATCGTTGATTGATTTGTCTTTTTTGCCGTCATACTGAAAGCCTCAATGTGTCACTGATGCGTGAAGCACAAATAGATGCACTGAATACTATTTATCATTTTGATCAGTGGAGATCCGGCTTTCTTGACATGTCAGGATATGTCGGGCTGTTCAGATCAGCAGAGCAAGAAAAGACCTGTCTGCCTTCATGCGTCTGCTCTGCTGTCTCTAGATCATTATTCACACACACCCACGGACAAGTTGTCACTGTTTAACAATTTTTTGCTGTGTAGTTAAATTAGATTTCCAGTATATTCAACCTTTAAAGGCGCAATGTGTAACATGTAGCCAAACAAACAGGGGGGCAGAGTTTCACCTATACTTCGGGGTCCATACAATCTACATATCCAGTAATCAGTTGTGAAAATAAAAACAACAACTAACTAACTAACAGCAGGGCGTGAATACGCAAAATTCGAGAGCAAAAATGTCTCTTTCCATCGTTTAATCCGAGGTGATTGAGAGGTTGTGCTTCTGTCGCGCCTGCAGTTACTAAGCAACCAAATCTGCTTGCTTGGATGATGATGAAGTTGCTTTAATGTAGCACTAAGCCTCACAGACTAAATGGCACTTTCCATATGTTTAACTTAGACTGATATTTAGGGAAGAAATAAAGAAAGATCTGCCGGTTGTGATTGGTTGTTCCTCGTCACATGACACACATGTTCCATGTGAACGGCCCCTTACGCTGCTATCTTATAATCTTCACGTGTGGCGTCGACCTTTAGTTTATGTTTGCCATCTGTTTGTGCCACTAAGTGGGGCTTTACTGTCCGTTTTTTGATTCGATTAAGTCCATCATGCCAGAAATGAGAAAAACAACGACACATTGGTCTCGTCCAAGGTGATGGTGTGAGACGTTTTCCTGTTTCAGCCACGCTGGATTCAATGCAATGAACAAACTATCAAAACGTACACGGACCACTATGAGTTAATGAAGAGCCCTCGGGGCAGCTCCACGTCTTCGACCTCTCATGTTGGACTGAGGACAGACTGGACGCTACAGAGACTCACTATCACCTCTGAAGGTACAAGTGGTACAGGACGGGCTGCGGCTAGCTGGTTAGCGTTTCTCACTTCAGTAGATATCCACAACACATGGACGTCTTTCACATGACTTGAACCCTGTGAGCTATTCACATTCGTCTGATAACGTCATTTTCTGAACGTTTTATAACAAAAATTGTGTTCACATCTACTACTGCCAACACTGTGTGACACTTCTCCCACTGTTCATAGACGATGTGGACAACACGCCGTCCTGGCTCCTGGTCGACAGCTCGTCTCACTCATTGGACGGAGAGTGATGCTGAGTTTTAACTGTGACAACCACAGAGAAATGTGTATGGAGAGAACACGGCGTTTGTTCAAATAACAATAAATGCTGAACAACAGTCTGTCACACTTGAGCCCCACCCTGATCACACACACACACACACACACACACACACACACACACACACTTATAAAAGCACATATTGTCTCAAATGTCCTCAATATGATCCCTGAGCATATGATAACGTGGTTTGTGAGTTGTTTTATTGCACACTGTCTGCTTAATTAAATACCTTATCTCGTTATTGACACGCAGTGTTATATCTATTTATATAGACTTCGGTACATTTTTACAACATTGTTTAAAACTTTCACAATGAGCATGGAAAGCCTGTCAAGGTCAGGATTATGTCATAAATTCCAGCTCATGTCTTTGACCTCACTCCCAGGCACACATACCTGTGTCTCCCCCACCCACCTGCCAGCCACCCGGTCTATACCGGCCCTCGAGGCAACAACCCAGATCTTAAACAACGGCAACTCACCTCACACAGCCGAGGACTCCTTCAGCCACTCGCTTGCTCGGGCTCCAGAGATGAGCCGGGTGGTACAGGAACGACAGAGGGAGAGAAAGCGGAATGAAGAGGAAGAGAGGATAATAAGGTGAGGAAGAACGCCTCAGAGCCTGCCCTTCTCTCATCTCTCCACCCCAGAAAACCGGTCAGAGCTGTCGTTCCCTTAAGGAACACAAACACCGAGGCCCGGGCAAGTTCTCCCTTGATTTTCCTGTTCCTGCTGAAATCCCACATAACTGGCTAAACCGGCTCCATAAAGCCCTGTGGGGATAGAGGAACAAAGCCGATTGGGAAACACAAACATGCGATGCAGAAGCCTGCAATGGTGGTAATCATGAGTTAGAGAGGAAGAGTTTTCTTTTTCATTCTTTTAAGTATTATTATTTTTTGGTCATAAATAAACTTCAAATACTGGCATGAGTCATGACGCATGAATCACATATTGATTTTTGTGAAAATTCCTTTTCATTGTTTTGTTTTAAGTCTGATGTTTGTGCTTTTATGCTGCGGTCTTGGCCAGGACTGGAAATATAAAGGCTGAAAACCATCAAATAAAATCACCCTCGGAGCGTGGAATTTGAATAACTAGTACAAAAGACTATGTCCCGAACTTTAACCCTCCCACTTAACAACTCAGAGGTTGTGATCACACAATGGGAGTGTGATAACAATTTTACTGTAAACTGCTCTAATTTAATAAAAACAAATCATATCTTTAGTCCTGACAGAGGCAGCTGTGTGTGTGAAACAGGCAAAAACCAGACACAGGGTGTGTTGGACATGGTGTCCAACTTGCTATGCAAATCTGACAGGACAACAATAGGCAATAGGAATGGTGTACTTGCTGTCTATGAAGCTCGACTTGATCCATGCTTGATTAGAAAAACGCCATTTCCTGATTCCTGAACCAGATTCCTCACAACCGGCCGGACGGGGCACCAGCGGGCATCTCCATCGTCATCCTCTTACTCTTCGTTCAAACTGCCACTCCCTGTAGGCACAGGTATCGTAAATATCTATGAGGGGATGGAAAGTATGAAGATGTGATTATATGTTGTCATTGTCAGTGTTCACTGATACGCACGGAAAAAGACAGAGGCGGGGGAGGAGTCCCTCTTCAACGGAGGGACATGCAATAGACGTCATGAGTACGGAATGTAGAATATGGAAATTCAGAGTGGCAATAAAGACATATAATATGAATAGTATAGAGTTCAAGAGACTTCTAGTTATTGCCAAACAGATTACACACACATCCAGGGTAGGAAATTTACATATTTTTTAGGGGGCAACTTTTGCCCCCACCGACTGAAATCCAGTGGCATTTAAAAAATATTGGGGGAACTTTTTGAAACTTGTGAAATAACATTTAACCTTTGTTCAAAATAATAAATATACTTATTTAGGCTTACAGTATATGAACAATTGTCATCAAATGACAATAATAAGACTATTAGCAGTAGTCTACAGATTCAAAGTGTTTTCTTAGATTTTTTGAACAAAAAACAAACATAAATCAGACAATCATATTCAATTTTATTTTTATTTCTTTGTGGGTATTTATTGTTATTATTACATTTTTTTAAACAACTATTAACAATTATAACTCTTTTCTTTCTTTTTTATAATTATAACTTATTATAGTTATTGATTTTTTTCTTACCTTTAATCATGTTGTACCTATAGAACAGGAAATACAGATAGGACAGACAAAACAAAGAGCAAAAGCAAAACACAATAAAAGAGCTATACATAGATTAATTCAATTACATTTACAAACAAAAAGCTCAACAGGGCTGAGGGGAAAATTAAAAAGTACATATTAAGTTATATGTACAGTGGAGAAAAATAATAAATATGTACCTATACATACATGAGTGGCTTATTTGTCAAATAGCACCAGTTCATCATCGTCGTTGGAGAAGTTGCTGGTCTGACCTGCTGCCTTTTCCCATAGGGTTTTATGTGGGGCCGCCTTGCTTTCTTCCCATTGCGGAACCATTTTTTCACAGCAGATTCTGCACATGCTGCAGTAGCTGCATCTTCTTCTGGTCCGTCCAGTGAGATACTCATTAGGTCTTCCACTGTGGCTGTGTTGAGATTGATCCGCCAGTCAGTTTTGACTCGATTCAGAAGAGAAAACGCCCTCTCTACCTTGGAGGTGGACATCGGCATGACTTGAATTATTTCAATTATGTGGAGTATGTTGGGGAACTCCTCAGACCACACCCTTAGAATCTGAGCCCATAGTTCCTCCCACTTTAGACCTCTGTAATTCCTGTTGACGACCTTCTTAAGACGGGTCCACTCTGCCATTACGCTTTCTACATCGCAGACGTTTTTCGTCAGTATCTCCTTGAAATGCTCTAGGAGCAGCAAGACCTCCTCGTTACCATACTCAGTCAGATCTTCAGGCCAGTGGTTGGGGTCCAGTTTACACATGGCCATGAGGATTGTGTCTGTTTGATACCTTTCATCAAGGCAGGCCACAATGTCATGGATAAGCGGCTCTCTGGAACTCTTTAATCTCTCCTCAGCATCTCCATAAGCGTCAGAAAGATCTACACCTCTGTAGCTACCACACCTAGACTCCACCTTCACTGCTCTCAGCTTTGGGCCATCACCTTTGGCCATGTCTTTCAGCACCTCTTTGGAAGTCTCAATAGCCTCCACAGCTGTGGGAAGAGAGATGCTGTCCTTCTGGAATTGGAGAGATAGATGGGACAACTCACCCAAAACATCCATGTAAAGACCTGTATGGAGGAGGAATTCATTGGACCTAACCTTCTTGAGCCATCCTCTCACTCTTGCAGCATCTGCTTTCTTTATATCTTGCCGCTGATCACTTCCCACCTCACTTAGATGAGCGATGACTGCAGGGATGTTCGTCTCAAGTGCTTTAAGGGCTCTTCTGCGGTGATCAACCCATCTGGTCCCATCTACTCTAGTGGGTGTCAGGACAGACTCGTCTAGCAGTTCAGCCAGCTGGTCCAGTTCCCGTCGTCTTTTCCCTGAACCTCGATAGAATGATGTATAGAAAGACAGGAACCCATCAATCTGAAAAATGAAAAGAAAAACACAAACAAGGCGTTGAGAATCAAAGTCCCACAATGTTTGTACTGTTTGCTTTAGGGTCCAGCAATGTTAATACATACTATGTTTTTTATAATGTGTTTTTTATATCAAAAGTTAAAATATAACACAAACCTCTTGATTGAAATAAGTTCCCTGGAAGGCATTCTTGCAGGCTAGCTCTAAACGATGAGCTAAACAATGAGTGCCCATTAGCCATGGCATGTCATTCTTTAGCTTTGTGTAGATGCCCTGCCTGCATCCAAAGTTAACGTTGGCTCCATCTGCTCCGAATCCAACAAGATGATCGGTCCAGTTAGGGATGCCCTTGGAGATTAGCAGTGACCGGATGCAATGCAGGAGCTGTCGGCTGTGGCGCTCTCAGTGTCCTCAATTCTATTAGGATGATAAAAACACACAATGTAAAAAAAAAAACTAAACAAAACACAAGTCAGCCACTTCAGAGAAAAACTTGTACTGTATGTGTGTAAGTAACCTTTAGATTAATTGATAAACAATAAACTTGAGCAATAGATAATTGATAAGAGATCATTGATCATAGATAATTACCCTAGAAATGCCATGCAAGGGACACCTTTATGCAGGAATTTCACATAAAGGACCTCCTTCTCCGCTGTTGACCTGTCTGTGCTCCCATCAACAAGGACACTGATATATCTGGAAGCCAATACTTGCTTGCTAACCTCAAGCTGTATTTGTTCCGCGAGGTACTGGGTAAAAACCCTTGTTTGTTTGGGGTTAATGTAGGCATCTTCCAAACCAACTCCATGCCGCTTCTCCAGATTGACTAGAGATGGATAATAAGCAAATGGCTTCTCGTGTTTAGCAATATGGTAAGCAATGTCAAACAGCTTGACCATTTTGCAGAATGCCGTCTTCTGCATCAGATCCACAGCTTCCACAATTGGCTCTCTGTTATTGAGCTGATTACTCCATGCTTCTGTAAAAACAAAAATAATATGTTACATGTGATAAGGGACTTCATCTAAACATTTAAACCTTGGAAACCCCAGTCAACTGCAGTCTCAACAAATTGTATTTTACCCAAATAGAGGATTAGTTGTCAACCACAGCATGCTTAACAATGACAAAGAGACATGAAAGGCCACACGACCACAAATAGATGCAAACAGACTACAAAGAGACACAAAACAGTCACAGAGACAAGCAACATGACCACAAAGAGACACTAAATGATCACAAAGAGACCCACAATGACTACAAATACATGCAAACTGACCACAACGTGTGCAAAATAATTTCAAGAAGATACAAAACCTTCACAAAGCAACCTGCTGACTTCTTTTTATTTCAGACAATAGCACTGAAGCAGATAACAGAAGGGAGGGAGACAGACATGGAGGGTCATGCCCACTTATAACTTTACAAGTCATTAGTGGTACCCTAAAGTCTTATCTAAGGTGGAAAGGTGGCCAACAAAGGGAACCTAAGGTTGGTGTAATTCAGTAAAATATTCTACTTTTAGTAAAAATTCTGAGCTTCTCTTCCACTATGCCAATAAAGTTGTCTTGAATTGAATACCTCACCTAAAAGTCAAATCTTTATTTTCATCCACAAGAGGGCCCAGTTGAACCTCGCTGCAGAAGGAGGATCAACATGGGTCTGGTGAAAGCAGAATATTTTTGACGACCCATAGCTTTCCCAAACGCCACTAAAGCATTGGTCGTAATGAATGTCTCTTCACAGACGGTTGAAGCAGTTTGGGTGGTTTGGGAAGCCTGCAACCATTGAGTGGAGTGTGTACAGGGTGATCCAGGGGTGAAAGGTCAAGCCTGCAATTTATCGCTGTCCTTTTTCCCCCTTCTGCAGAGACTCCTCACTTCCAGCTTTCCTCTCACTGCTCAAGCTGAACACATTTAAAGTCTGATGAGATTCAGGAAAAAGCAGTATGAACGTTATGCCCAACGTTAAAAAAAAATAAATTCCACAATAAATTATTCCCCTTTAGAATTTGATGGACACCTCACAGTTCATTGT